TATAACCTCGACTTCCCCCAAACATCGCTCTCCCTTTCCCCTGCCTAACCACTTGGGCTGGACGGTAGAGCGACGGTCTCGCTTCCTGCAGGTCGGCGTTCAATTCCCGACCGTCCAAGTGTTTTGGCACTATTCTTTTAAAATCCCAGCCCAAATCCTTATCCTGATCCCTTCCAAGTGCTTGGGAACTTTGTGCTTTGCCCGAAACGCTATGCGTACTAGTGGCTTTAAGTATTGTATGTACTATCTCTTATCTTTGAATCCATCATTATGTACGTAACTCGATGGATGAACCTTTACCTGAATAAAGAATCTGAATCTGCTATATATAGTCGTAATGGCTTGGCGCGTTCTCCTGATAATTTCTTCCCCCTCTTTTTCCCTCAGATCACACTTTAATTTCCCCTTTTCTCATTTTCCCTCATTTCCGCACTCCTTCATTTTCCAAGCCCTTGACCTGCACCTTGCTGTCACATTATGACATCACCTCATTCCTCGTCTCATCTCATCTCGAGCAAACTTCCAGGTTATAATGACTTCTTGCTGCATCGTACTTAAGTAGAAAGCCGGGCCGCGGGGACGTTGAGCCCCGAAATCATCGCAAGGAATAAGAAGCCCCTTGACCTCATCCCAGGATAGTGTTGACTCGGAGGTGGTGGTTGTTATAGATTCAGCTACTCTGAACAAGTTCCAAGCAGCACGGGCTATGGTGAGCCCGTAGTGGACTTACCTGGCACAGAACTCGGAGGCTCTGGTCTGCTTGGCCCGTGGTTGGTACCACGCGACCGGGGGTCATTTGCGGGCCCGTTTAGCGAGAGGTCGAAGGTCATTCCCTAGTGATCTGTCCTGGGATCAGATCTCTGCACCTATGATGTCTTGACCTGACCTCATTCACTAGCCATATCATGTGCCTGACCTGTGCGGAGGGGGGGGGGGATGACGTGAGGTCATATTTACCCCTAAATATTTTAGGGGGAATAAGAACAATGTTAAGATTTAAAAAAAGGAGGAACACAAAAGAATAGTCAAAATTATACTGCGTAGGCCTAGTGGTTCATGCGAGGCTGGTGCCATTTGTCCTCCCAATCATGTTTTGTCCTTGAAAGTGGCAATGGTTCGCTTTGTCCTGGACGCTTTAAATCGTCATTTTTCCTGCTTTTCATGTTTGAAATGTATATACAAATTTCAACCACATCGTTGTTGGGATATTGTCCGCACTTTAATTCACGTAAGTCTAGTTGATAAACGGGTCCAGATACCTGCCTCACTGATGCTCTTTAACTATTCAACTCCCCAGTGGACAAAATCTATTCGAGTAACATTGAATCAAACGTAACCGATGTTAACCCTTAACAGCGTTACTGTACGATAAGTTGAACATGTTCTGGAAATCGAGTCATTGGAGAATGGGTTACGAGGTTTATTTGGTTGGTGGCGGTGGTTCGAGCCCTGCAGGTGGCCAGGACGTGTGGTGCAGAGGGTCGAGTTCCTTCCTGCAGGTGACACCGGCGGTGTCTTAAGATGTGGGGGAGAGTCGCGCTGGTTTGAAGGGCGACCTAGCTAAGGTGAGAGGGGCGTGGGGGGGAGGGTGGTTTGAAGTGTGAGAGTGGCCATGTGGCCAGCTTCACTGTCCCACACACTCTCTGCCAAAATTTCACCCCCAGGCATTCCTCACCCTTGCGAAAGAGAAAACTAAAGTCTCACTATCACACTCACTCATTCACTTTCACTCACTCACTTATTCACTCACTCATTCACTCTCACTTACTCATTCACTCTCTCTCATTTACTCATTCATTCACTCTCACTCATTCGCACTCGCTCACACTCTCCCCCTATCCACAAGAACATAATATAAGAAGAAAAACTACAGAAGGCCTGTATATTGGCCCCACACGAAGCCGTTCCTATTTATATCCACCTATCCTCTCATATATGTCTTGACTATTCTTGAAATCATTCACTATTCCTACCTCTATTCTGTTACCCGGTAATTAGTTCCATAAGTCTGCAACCCTTGTTCCCAAATAGGTATTTATGCACACGGCAAACATATGTACGTAATTCCTCCTACATGTACGCATACGCTACACTTTCGTACACACAGTGCATCTTAAACGCACCTATACACGCGAAATGAGGATGAAACAGATACGTCTTTTATATAACCAAAAGATCTGTAAAAAAAAAAAAACTCACTATTATATACCCAGGGAACATCGCCTCTGATAGGTGTATTGTGTAATTTATAAAAGTATTTCAGAATGTATATTGTATTGTCCAAACTGCATTGTCCCTCTTACGGTCGTGCATATCCTCGTTGAATGTCCTGATGACCAGGATGTGCTTGTGTCGTGCTTCTATCACCTATCTGTCCCTCGATAGCATCCTTGGTGAATCAGATATCTTTGATATCGTTCGCCTTGGGCGTTTATGTTCTCGTATTGGTATCCTTAAGTGACATTTATCGCCTTTTGAACATCCCGCACATTTGATGGTCCTACATAGTCTCCTCGGCTTGGTGCCTTCTTTTGATAATTACTTCAGAATGTATCAGAAGATGGCTGTGTTCCCTACCTCACTCGGTAGTTAAGTGACTGAAGCAGTTACACAGTTCCAGGTACCACATACCACCAGGTCTAGAACCTGGTGGTATGGAATGTTGCAAAGCTTTAACACCTGGAGTGCTCTGCACAGATTGTTGACCAGACCACACACTAGAAGTTGAAGGGACGATGACGTTTCGGTCCGTCCTGGACCATTCTCAAGTCGATTGTGATGAGGACAGGTAGGGACAGGCAATAAATAGGCGCGAGAGAGCTGAGGAGGAAAGTAAGGTGTGGGGGATAGTAGTAATAATGAGAACTGCAGAGGGCCTATTGGCCCATACGAGGCAGCTCCTCTGCACAGATTGTTGCTTCGTAGAAAGCGCCTATATATACATTATTTTGAACTTGTGGCGCTGCGTGATCGCCACCTTTTTTCTATGCCACAAATCGAATATATTTTGTGTGTACCGTGTGTTTTATAATAAAGATGAGGGTGAAAGTACAAGTATGTGATGATGGACCACCTGAAAGTAGACTTTTGGATCACTGAATTTGGACAAACCTAACTGTTCTATGTCTAAGGCTTAATATGCGCTATATTACTACTAGAAATATTTTTATTTATTTTTTTTTTCCGGATTTATATAAAAAAAGATACAAAATAGTAGCTTACTGGGGCTCCATTACTACATACTAGAACGATTGATCAGTTACAAAAATGCCTATCATTTCAGGATGAGGGGTTGGTGTAACGAATCTCATGCTATACAGAGTGTAAGGTACCTGGTCTGACACACTAAGCCTCATACCATCTGGTATGAGGCACACTATACATCATACCACCTGGTCTGACACACTAAGCATCATACCACCTGGTCTGACACACTAAGCATCATACCACCTGGTCTGACACACTAAGCATCATACCACCTGGTCTAAGCATCATACCACCTGGTCTGACACACTAAGCATCATACCACCTGGTCTGACACACTAAGCATCATACCACCTGGTCTGACACACTAAGCATCATACCACCTGGTCTGACACACTAAGCATCATACCACCTGGTCTGACACACTAAGCATCATACCACCTGGTCTGACACACTAAGCCTCATACCAATCAATTCCACTAAGCATCAAACCACCTCGTTTGACACACTAATCGTCATACCACCTTCCATCCAGCTCTTCCGGTTCATTGTTGATGGCTATAATCGCTTTTCTCTGTTCACCTTGCCTCTTTTGACCTGTCCCCTGCCTCCCCAGTCACAAAGGCAACAGGTGTTCGTGCAGGTGTGGTCTCAGGTGGCGTGGCTTACCCTAGCTGCTCGATCAACAGTCTGGCGGATCACAGTCGACCTGGTCATTTACAGACCAAGATTAGTGCCGTGTAATTATTTTTCTATGACAGCTTCCTGTTACTGTAACATCATGTTGGCAGTACGTAGAGTTTTATTGAATTCCCGAGCACCCTCATAATGGATTTTTTAATACCACGTAGCTAGCTTTTTTGACACACTGTACTCCTCTTCATATAGTCTAGAGTAGCTGCATAAATGCAGATGTACCTAAAACTCATAATGCACCCAGAGTTTGCCAGTGCAGACTACAGATCACATGCCTCTGTATGACTAACCATACTGTGTGATGGGGATTTTCAGCATCACGTAGCTAGCTTTTTGACACACTGCACCCTCCTTCATATAGTCTATAGTTTAGGGTAGTTGCACAAATGCAGATGTGCCTAAATGTTTTAATAAAAAAATGGGAAACATTATATTTTGTAATTCAAAGTCTGCTGTTCAGGAGCTTGAAAAACTTTCCATGCAAGATCGACAGGAAGGGCCTCATAAGTGCAATGATAAATGATCTGATCGCTGCACAAAATAAAGAGGGGTTAGAGTTTTGAATGGACACCATTTCGTATAATTATAATCTTGCAATGAAAGTGTACTGTGCATAGGAGGAGTTTCATTAAGTTTTAGGTATATCGCTGAAGTGTCTATTATATTTGTTTGTAATGCTTTAGAATCAAATTCAATCCAAGTTAGCTGGCAAGTGTTTCCCATTTCTCGGTTATTAAGATAAAGTATCGACAAGAATAAGTAGTTATGGTCTTGGTTGTAAGTTTTTCATGAAGGTTATATTTTTATGAAGACGATCAGTAGTTATTTATTAAATTAGGGTACAAAACGCGAGGTTATTTTTATTAAAAATATAAAGATAAGATCCAAGTCATGATATTTTGTTAATATTGTTTAATAGGAATTGCTAAATGTTGCAAATTGAACTTGTTAGTCTTGTTACATTACCTTATTATTAGGATATATTATCTTTTAAATCAATATGGCAATATCTTTGTTTTCTTTAGTTATATGAATATATTGTACTGCGACGTGTAATGATAGGACATTAAAAGTATATCGAAGGAAATGTAAACAAATAATTGTCAAATAAAAACAACCTTTATTACACTTTGTACTATGTTAAATCACTGGAATGACTAAGCCTAGGGTATATCACAGAATTTGTATAGGTGCATTGCGGATAGCACTTGGCTAACTATATATTTATTAGTTTCATTTTTTAATAGCTAATTAGATTTTCGTCGTTAAAATAATTTGTCTTGGTCATGTATTTTTTTGTACTGTGGTGAAATCGAGGGCTTGTAATAAATCCCGAACAGTCATTGGCCGCCAGAGCTGTATGTCTTAGTAATTGTAGTCATACAGCTGTATTGGTCTTTGTTCATTTGGCACTGTTGTTGTATAGCAGAACCTACCCCCTTCCTCTCTGTGTAACTGAAACAGTTACATTTTGTCTACTGTTGTGGTGGCAGAGTTGTTGTACACTCGTGACTGCTGACAAGGGCGTAGGTGCTTGTCATCCCTGTAGCACAGTTTCAGGGCACTACTCTTGCACCAGCGGGTCACCAAGGGCGGCAGCAGGTCACCAAGGGCGCCAGCGGGTCACCAAGGACGCCAGCAGGAGTCATCGTCAGGATGGCGTACCGGGGCGAGGTCTAGCGGCTGGGGAGACGGGCTTCTACAGGGAGACGGTGGCGGTGAAGACATCACGGACAGTGAAGGCGAGTCTGCGGTAGGTGGCGGCGACGGAGGGGCGTGATGCAGCTCTCCTGAAGGGCCTGTTATCGTCCCCGCTGCGCCGTGAGGCATCACAAACGCCACCTGCCCCGTCAGGAGGCGAGTGGGCACTAAGGACACTCCGCGCACCAGCAGGGGATCAATAGTCACTGGATGAGAGGCTCGGTGAAGCTCCCTGCTGTTGACAGTGGTTGAAACATCCGGGGCACTCGGCGTAATGTTGCGTAGCCTGCCCATGGTCTCTGCCAGATGGAGGAGTATACGCGCGCGCTGAGAGCCGCTCAGGGTGGTATCCCGCTCCAGGAACTTTCCGACCTCCGCTGCACACTGTCCGAAACCTGCACGGAACTTGGCGGCGGCGGCATCGACGGGAGTCGGACAGGAGACAGGCACTTCCTGACGGTGGAGCGCCTCCACGTGCCGCACCGTCATCTCCAGGATGTCTGCCTTCTCCAGCTTATTGTATCGTGTCGGCTGTTGGGGGAGAAACTGGCCGTTAGTCATAGCAAATAATCATATATAGTTTTATATATTAAAATATATAATTAAATCACCCCTATTAAAAGAATAGGGGGTGGTACGAGAAGAAAATATCAGTGTTCAGTGAGGTTCCACAAGGTCTTTTCTGAGTACTCTTTATTTTCTTCTTAGAGGCTATGGGTCCCTACATTTGCAACAAAGATGGTACCCCTTTTAGGTTTGAAAAATTTATATATTATATCACGAATTATATCTTTGTTTTATAATCATACTAAGGTCAAGTACTTAAGTTGTTTTCTATGTGTTCGTTATGGAAAGCAGAAATACCTGTAGTACTAATGTTCCTTGTGTGAATCAACTTCAAACAAAAAATTATCCAAAAACTAGACCGGTTGGGTTTTGGGTGGTCGCAAGTTAGCAGGGTGGGTGGGATGGCGCTCGTGTGTGTACAGGGGGAAAGGAATAGGTGTGAACAGGGATAGGGAGGTGTGGAGGGGATAGGTGTGAACAGGTGTGGCTAGCTTAACAGGTGTATGGACTGAGCAACTTAAACACTACTTTATCTCTCTCTTCTTTTTAAAGACTAAACACTACTCAAGCATCCGACATGATGTTTAAACCAGTTTTCTTATCTTTACAAGATCAGACACGTCATATATACATATTTGCTTTTGTGTATATTCTGAACTTTCTAATTAAATAAAAATATTTAGTTTTGAAATATATAGTCAACACTCATAATTCCACTGAACTCAGCGCTGAACACACAACTGGTCAAAGGAAGTGTATAGATGGATGCACATCTCATCTTCCCTTCAGAGTTGATAATGAGATGTGCTATCAAGGTATTAACACCCCCCCCCCCTTTTTCTCAACAGGGACGAAGCAGTTATATCTGCTGGCATAAACAATCTTCTAGAGTTGGTTTGTTTACAACACTATAATAAACTGCTCTTCTCGGTATTGATACCTTAATGGCTCTTAGTAACATCGTGATTGAATACGCAAAGTTAAATACATTTTCTTTGAGAGTACTTACATCTTTCTTGAGTCCTTCCAACACCAGGTTCTTCAGCTGGTTAAGACTGTCATTAATTCTCTGTCGTCTCTTCTTTTCCATGATGGGTTTATTGGTCCGTCTTCGCTCTGCCGCAGCAGTCCTGGCCTCTACGCCCTGCCTGGCTGTTGTGCTGGACGGCATCCTCACTTCTCTCACTACAACTGCACCCCTTGACACTTCTCTCTCTGCTCCTCTACCTTCAACAACCTTTAGGTTACTGACGGCACGCTTGAGAGCGCGTCAATTTATAAGATTGGTGGGGTGGCGAGCTGGCGCCTTGGCCAATGGCAGCGAGTTTCCCGGTGACGTCACGGATGCGTTGGCCATTCGGAGCGGGAGGATTGGTTGATGTAGGCGGCGTGTGGCTGGCGTGGGCGGAGCTAGAGTGTAGCGAGATGAGGTGACCTGTCGCTCGCGCGCCACGTGCTTCCTGGGAGATGAGAAGGAAGGTGTCCACGGGCAAGACGAATTATTTTCATCTTACGGAACCGACCAGACCGTTAAAAATGCTACGTGTTAGTAGAGATTGTAGCACGTTAATGTTGACGTTTTCTATACAACGGCCTTGATAGGTTTAGCCGGGTTGCTTGGGATCGTACATTGCTGGTCAAAACCGTTGTATTTTTTACGGAGTGGCAAAGCGAAAGACAGATATCCCCTTTATAACGTGGAAACGGAAGAATATCCATAGGTATGTTGACCAGACCACACACTAGAAGGTAAAGGGACGACGACGACGTTTCGGTCCGTCCTGGACCATTCTCAAGTCGAATGAAAGTCAATGTATCGACTTGAGAATGGTCCAGGACGGACCGAAACGTCGTCGTCCCTTCACCTTCTAGTGTGTGGTCTGGTCAACATACTTTAGCCACGTTATTGTGACTCATCGCCTGCATCCATAGGTATTACTGTAGTTTTAAGGACGATCTCAGGATATTGTTGTTGTTCAATGAGATTCTCTCACTGGATTGGGACGTCAGTTTGAAGGGGTGGGTGGGGGGGGGGGGGGGGAATCCATGAGTTGGTGTAGCCGAGAGAAGGTCCATTTGATAGTTTAAGGGGGGGGGGGGAAAGGTAGCTTGCTTTGGGGAGGGGATTTGTAGTGGTCAGTAGCAGCAGAGGGGCCATGGTATGTGTGGGGGGGGGATATAGGTACCATGGTAGCGGCCTCTTGTGTCGTGTTGTTTTTAATGTTTCTGGTAACCGGCTCGTTAAAGTTGTGTCTCGCCTGGGTTCCCTGCGTTACAGCACAGGAACCTTCTTTTATTATTGAAAGGAACCCCACCCCCCACCCCCCGCTCTTCCACCCCTACTGTTAGTAGTCGTAACGGAACCTCTCCGGGGGAGGGGGGGAGGGGGTGAGGGAGGGTAGTCTTTAAGAGTCTTCGCAGCACGATAAAAAAGTTTTCAAGGAAGACGAAGCTTAGAAGAATTTCTATTGAAGCTTTTACACTCAGAGCCTCGACCCTTTTGTCACTCGATCTGATTCGCTACTAATTATTAATTATTATTACGCGTTATGTCGCATCAATAAAGCTGACATTTTATTTCCAGAACACTATTGATCTTGACTCACCACCGAGATTCCCTCAAACACGTCTTAAATTCACTATCAGCACAGACATATGAGATCTCGCTAGTGGTTGGGTGTTCTCGAGGGCCAAGATATCAACCAGATATCAACCAGGTATCTGGAGTGCCTGGGATGTTTGTCCAAAGTAACTGGGAGATGTTTCGCAGCGCTCCTTATAGCTCATTATTGTGTACTGCTTGTAGTTTTCTTTCACTATATCCAAACCACACGTAGGCGGGTCCAAAGAGCCAGAGCTCAACCCCCGCAAGCACAATTAGGTGAGTACACGTCAGAAAATGAGGAAAGGTGTCTTCATTTTCTAATGTGTGGTTTGGCTATCATGTCTTCTGCCACGTTATTGTTATAAATAACAATAACGTTATTATAATATAGGATTCGTTATTGTTATAAATGGTCAAGGTCTTGTATATATTAAATAACAAGAATTGTGTCTATATGCACATATTAATTTATCTAGCAAGTACAGTTCTTAAAATACCAAATACATATAAGTGAATCATTACAAGAGTAGATTCTAATAAAAGCCCCCTTTTAAATCTACAAAAACTCTGAGAATACCTAAAGATATAATCAGGCCTATAATACCTAAAAAAGACTATAAAAGATGTCCAGCAATTATGTATATGCAGCCAACCACACTGCTATATTACCTGGATGAATGGTATTTATAATTCTTACAATGAAACTACAGAGGTATGACAACCCCCAGGAGTTCCTTAAGGAACTTGTGGAACAACCCCCTTAAGGAACCTATGGAACAACCTCTTAAGGAGTTAAGATGATGGAAAGGCGAACGAAGGAGTTTTAAAGGGGATATATTGTACTAGTTAAAGCAGCCAGCCTGTCCGCCTAGGTGTGTGTGTGTGTGTGTGTGTGTGTGTGTGTGTGTGAAGGGGGGGGAAGAGGGGGGGACACATGGAGCGGCAGATGTGGTGACAGAGTTGACGGCTGGACAACTCTGCTTCGTCACTCTCTAAACAGACTCGACCAACTGACCACCTTATCCACACTTGTTGTCTGCTGACTCCCCTCACTCACCTTCTGACCCCCCCCCCCGACCCTCACTCCAATATGACAGCCACTCATCTAAGATGCTACTTGCTTAATACGCCCACCCCTCTTTCTCTTCCATCTTGCTCTTGTTTCTACATTGTAATCATCGTCGTATCCCACTTCTCCCCTCCCTCTCCCTCTCTCCGTCCATACGATATTCATTAGTATGCGTTGCCCATCGAATTCCTTTACTTGGAGGGAATTTCCTGGTCTTGCAAAAGGCCGGAGTTGCGAAAGCAGGGCTGGCGTTGTCATCCCTTTCTGTCGAGTACCGTCTCTCCTGGAGGACCAGGTGGCAAACACAGTCATGTAGGTAGGTCACTAACCCTCCCCTCCCCTCACTCCCTCACTGCACGCACACACGCAGACACACACACGTGTGCTCACATACACATGCATGCTCTTACCTGTAGGAATACACACGAGTTTGTCTGCACGCGCGCCCCACATTCTGGCGCACAGGCACGCTCGCTCTTCTCTCTCTCTGTCTCACCCACTCACCTACCCCTCTGACAGTTGAGAGGCGGGACCAAAGAGCCAAAGCTCAACCCCCCCGCAGGCACAAATAGGTGAGTACACACACACAAACCAACCAGACAACCACTGTCACCAATATTCTGTTCTCTTCACGACGGCGACTTGCCAGAGCGGAACACCTCTAATTACCTGGACCGATGTTACGTAACAGGTGGAAGGGGGAGGCTGGTGGAGAATGGTCCCTGGAGAGGTAGTGTTTAACTCTACCTCTCTCTAGTCTACCTTACTCCTATTTCTGTGCCTCCTACTCCTATTTCCTTCCCTCCTCTTTCTCGTCCACCGGTCCTCACTTTTCTAGTTGCATGGTTGTGTACGTCAGAGAATAAGGTATATCAGTATTGCTTTCAGTTTTCTGTCACTAATGTCCAATTTGTTCATTATATACGTCGATGACCTGACAAAGAAACTACAGCCAGAATTCATTAGGCATTTGTGTGTCCACTTACAAGGCCAGGACATCTTTTCCTCAACCATAACCTCAAGATGACTTCATGGCAGCTTAATTTACATCAAGACGACTCCTAATTTCTCTACTCTAAGAAGTAAGGCTTCTTTAATCTGATTTTTTACCATAACTCAAGTCTTTGGTCAGATTGAAAACCTGAAATAAATTATCTATATGAATGTCGTTATGATCTCTCATAATTTAATACAAAAAATCAAACGATAATTTTCTAATCACATTGGTTCAAGGTGATAAGCAAAGTATAATTATTAATTTAAGTATATTATGGAGAGATCTGAAGGTCAAGTTTAAGTTTAAATAAGCCATGAAAAATATCTTGGCTATTATTCAAAGTAATGATAAGATTAAGATAACATGAAAAAAATGCAGGCAAAAATATAAAGCACTCAAATTCAAAGTAATTTACGTTCTGTGAGGCAATATTCCGCTCTCTGTTGCCATATTCCGCTCTCTATGTGGCCCTATTCCGCTCTCTGTGGCAATATTCGACTCTGTAGCAATATTCCGCTCTCTGCGGCAATATTCCGCTCTCTGTGGCCATATTCTGCTCTCTGTGTATTGCGTGTGGGCATTTCTGGACCCCGTGTCCCACTCTCAAGAGTCTAGAATTTCCGTCCTCTCCGTAATACCACCTCCAGGTGGCGTAGATGCTGCACCTGTCGCTACACCTGTGTGCGTGCGTGTGTGTGTGTGTGTGTGTGCGTGCGTGTGTGTGCGTGTGTGCGCGTGTGTGTGCGTGTGTGTGCGTGTGTGTGCGTGTGTGTGCGTGTGTGTGCGTGTGTGTGCGCGTGTGCGTGTGCGTGTGCGTGTGCGTGTGTGTGTGTGTGTGTGGGGGGGGGGGGAAGGGCAGGCTTGTGTACGCTCCCTGGGTCTTGGTTCGTAACTTATTTCAGGTTGCGGGTGATGCTGCGCTTGTGATAAATAGGATGAGTGGATGATGCTGATGATCTGGGGATTATCATGCCCCGTAAATAGTGATAGAAAATGGGTTTTGGGGGAAACAATCCCCAAACTAGCGTATACGTAATAAGCTGGTTTAAAGAAGTAGATATATACGCTATGGCATATATATCTACTTCTCTTATATCTACTTCTCATATATATCTACTTCTTCTTCTTAATCGATCGAGTCTGTATGAAGGATTTATGCTTGGGGATCACAAGGGGATCATCTATTATTACGACAAAGAAACAATTATAAATGAAACAACTTGACAAAGGATAGCTAATAAGTGCAACAGTGAAATCACAATATTGTCTAGGAGAAAGTCTTTGCAGCAAGACCTCATCAGGTTCGATCCCCCCGTGTCTTGCTCGAAGGAATTTCTCACTGCCAATAAATATCTCCATTAGTACCGCAACTGAACATGAAAATTGGAAATGGAAAGGTACGGGGCATACGCCGCACACCCGCAAATAAATAGGTTCTGCAAATTGGTTCTAGTGGATGTTGTTGTTGGTTTCGTACCTCATGTTCTGCCAGAGGTGTGTGTGTGTGGTCCCAAAATCCCGGTATGTATACCTGTAACGCTTCCTCCCGGTATTGGTCCACTGAGGTTACCG